ACTGGATCGCCTTGTAGAATAAGTTTATTATAGACCATTCAAAGTTATACAAACGACTCATTAAGGTATTGGACGTTTTTCACTTGTGAAAAATTAAAATAAATTGAAATGAAATAAAATCTTGCGTCAAAAGGGGCAGACAAGGGTTATTTTTGTGAAAATAGTTTAGCCTAACACAAAATCTCACTGAAAAAAGCAAATACAAAGAACATCACTATATATCCTGGACTTTAGAAAGGTGTTAACGTTTCAGAAATCAATCTATTTTCGTCTTCTGTTTCTGTTTTCTGTTTTCGTCTTCTAAACTTATGACTTATCGTTTTTAATTATTTTTGACAGCTTAAATTTGTTTGATTCTGTCTGTTTTCTTAGAGATATTATATAATGTTTATTTTATACTTCTATACACAGAATAATCTGAAACATATTTCAATGTTCGACAAAATAATGGCGGTCTCTTTTAATTTTCTTGGGAAAACGGTCATTATAATTCAATAGGGTTCCGCCAAAATTTTGAAGGAAGAAGGAAAATAATATCGTTAAATGAGGATTTTATTGAACGTATTTAACTATGTTCCAAGAAATCGTTACCCGCTTTGGTGACTAAAAAGTACAAAATTAGTTGTAGCAATTTCACGTACATTTTATATTAAATATGAATTTTCCAATGCTTGATGGCATGTAAATATATTATAGTTAATATTGATTTGATGTAATAGCGGTGAAATATAGGGCTGTCGTTGGAAACACAGACACAGTTTTTCCTTGCAACCCTCAACTTGTTTTAGTCTTTCTCTTGACATTGTTCCAGTATAGGATCACTAACATCCCAAAAGACGATAGGCGTAACTTTACCAAAGGTGATGAGGATTGAATTTTATTTTTGTACCATAACGAAGGGTGAGATTCTACAGTTGGGAAAAATATTCGCGGGGTTGAAAGTTCACGTATGATAATGATAAGCTCTGTTATAACAGCGATATTAAACAATTCCTGTTATTCAATGACTTTCCTCGTATTACGTTTCACAAAATTGCCACAAGTTGAAAAACTTGTAATTGTCAACAAATTTAAGATCAGTTATATTTTACGTGGACTAATTGTGTCTAATTTCTGATAGAAACAATTTTATATCGCAGATAAAAACTTCTACTTACTACTTGTAAAGGAAATTTAATTGAATTACAATTTTCTAGAAACTTCACAAAACAGTCTTTTGTATTCCGTTTTGGTGGCTTACCCAGCAAAATTGAAGGTATTACCTAACTAATATAGAAATGATCTCAGTACCCATTCAGGTCTCTGTTAGGATAATGGCTGCAAGAAATGATTCTGAAATATTTGTATTTGTAGCGTGCGAAATTGATTCAGCCAAGTATCAATCGGCAATGGCGCAACGTGGCCTATTTCATTCGAAAGTTTTGTACCTATACGCGAAAAACAATAAGCGATTCCATTATCACGGTTTACCGCAACAAACATGGAATATTCGTAGCAGTATTGTAATTTCTGTTCTATTAACTGATAACATCGGATTCCGTTTCGGGCGTCGCGTCGTTCATTAAATCTTTTTTCACGACAAAGGTAATGAATGTAATGGTTAGAGCTTCCTGGTTTTCAGTTTGGGTTCAGCTTCTGTAGTCGGTGTTTCGACAAAAGACACGAGTTTCGGTAAAAATAACTTAAATAGTGTTAGTTAATAGTACTGCTATAAATACAGTAGATAACAAATTTTTACCATGTATATATTAGATTAATTTAAGGTATGACAATTAACAACTTTTCTGAGAAAATAACCTAATTATTTGACATTTTAAACAACTCGGCCTTATATTTTGCACCAGATTATGATTCGGTTTTTGCTCTTCACTTAGATATCACTTATTAAAAAAGTACGCCACTGGATTTTTCGAAAATTCATTAAGGTATAGTGTCAACATTAAAAATATTACTAAAGTTAACCTTTATAAAAAATTTTATTTTCAGGATTTGAAAGGAATGAATTCAGTCATACTCTGACAATTTTTGTTATTTAATATTTCAAGATTTTGATAGCGAAACGGCAACACAGATTTAAAACTTCCATAAATTGGTAGGGGAGAGTTTGGCAATTATATGTAAAATGTTACTGTTGAAATTGAGGAAATATTTTCTTTTCTTTTGGTTGTTCCATATGTTTTGTAGAAAATTCGTTAATTTCGTTTTTCCTATAGTTATTCTGGCAATTGAAATAATATTAACTTCATACGCTAAAGTTACCCCTTCCGTATTGGGTAAGAAAACGTAACTATTGGGTGATTATGCCAAATAGAGATAGCTTGGAAATGGTATTAGAAGGGTGATTTGAATTACATTTCAAAAGTTAAAGTTTAAAGGCGACAAAATGTTTACATGCATTAAACAAATCCTATATTCGAGGTTTATTGAAAAATGTTGCATTGTTGAATGCATTTTGGAACACATGTTAATCTTGTTTTCTTTAAACGGAAGACCCTGTATACGTTTGTGTATTTGAATAGAACACTTTCTCAGGACTACAATTTTATAACCTTTTATAGATCTATTTCTAATAGTAAGGAAAACAGTCCTGTTTAAAACTTCGAGCTTATGGCAGATTGTTTTGATCTCCTTTATTGTTAGAGATAGATCTCGTGGATTTCATATCACTGTAATTCTAAGGATGGTCTTTATCCAAAATACAACATTAAACTGTTTTTTCTGTCAATTATTGTTTTGAAATTATAAGAAAATTTACTACACCTTTGATCCATACAATCCTTGATTGTATATAAAATAGTCAGATAACCCGTCAAGTTTGGGGATGACAACACCCCTTGTCACCATATTTACACAATATTCTTTTCATCGGCTGTAAATTTTTAAGAGATTTTATTCAACCAATCAACGAGCGCAGAAGTGACAGTTTGTCATTGTTCGTTGTAAACGAATCATTAATTTGATGACACCAAGATTTAGGGAACTTTCGTTACCAATCTAATCTTTCCGAAGTCAGTTGAACATGTATAAAAACGCCTAGCAATATAATGAGTTTCATAGGCGTCCCTGAAAAAGTTTTCTGCTAAAGGAAAAAATAATAATTTGTATATAATGTATAGAAAATTTCTTTGTTCACTTGGGCAGCAACATATTTTAATTATTTAAGGTCGCCAAAATGCCATGTGGTAACAATATTCGTAAACAAAATATCCCTCTTATTCTTCCCTTTCGCAATTGCAATATGAATGATTAGTAGAAGGTGCCTATAATAAATTAAAATTACCTGAATTACGCCAAATTTCGCATTGCTGCACTGCACTGCTAGGCAATTTGTCGACCACTTAACAACAGATTTATTGCCCAGCCGCCTAGTGCGGCTGTGTTATACGCCGTTTGCCCGCGCGCGCATTCTTCAACTGGGCGTAAACATTTCTACCACCTCCTCGTTTAGTTCGACCAAACCTGTATATGGATATGATTAAATAACTGTGGGAACAAATTTTTCAAATATTTCAATGCCGACTTGCTGCGTCAGCGACCAAACCTGCTACATACTGCCACCTCTTGGTTCTTCGACTGAGATCGGAAAAACTATACCAGTTCTGCAATGTTGGGTTGCGTAAGCTCGACGGTAAACATTTATAAAAGCTCTGTATATATAGGCCGTCAGCCCGCTGCAAAAAACCCGTATTTCTCCACGTATGCCCTTCAAGGTATCGTTAATTATGCGCATGCTGACCAATGAAAAAGTACAATTAGCCGGTAACCGTGGAACATGCACCGGCAGTGGCGGATTTAGCCGGGGGACGCTAAATTCAAATTTTCAAAATTTTATTCGTGGTTTTTCTTGCAAACAAAATGTTAAGGAGCAAAAATTTGAAAAAGATTTATTACATAATATGTAATAATAAAAAATTATACATATTTTTTTTTCCATTGTACATATATGTAATAATTTATTTTCAGTGAGGGGCGCCCGCCCTCCGGCTAAATCTGCCACTGCCGGTGCATGTTCCACAGTTACCGGCTAATTGTACTTTTTCATTGGTCAGCATACGCATAATTAACGATACCTTGACGGGCATACGTGGAGAAATCATACGTTTTTTTTTTGCAGCGGCCTAACGGCCTAATACTCGTTAGTTATATTGTATATCCCAAAAGTTTGGAATAAAATTCATAAAAAACATAAAACGGGTCGATTTTTTTTGTTCCATACTTTTTGATGTGACACACGCATAGTTGGTAGGTACTAGTCACGCTGCTGATATGATGTTATGCATATTTATTTTAAATAGGAAGGTATATGGAGTGACACATCATTGGTAGCCCTTTTAAATACGTTGTTTGATTTTCCGTGTTATCTCAAACAGTTTTTGAGACATTGCACTTCAAAACCTTCTGATGCATGAGTTTTCTGAAGTACCTACTTCTTAAGTTGTCCAACGAAGTATCGCCCCATTGTCCTTGTTATTTAAAAAAAAGATTAACGTGACATGTCCGGAAATCCACAGACGCTATTTATGCGCGCGTCACATCAAAAAGTGTGTAACAAAAAACAAAATCGACGTGCTCCGTCACTCTGCAAACAAATATTATAGTAAAAGTTTTACGTATAAAATCTTAATTGTCAAGAAAACGGCGCTTATTCCCTTCGAAGCCTCGACTGCTTGTCGCGTTCCATTTCTAACTAGGTAAGTGAAAAAAGCTCGAACATCCGGATCATTTAGAACCGGCCCACGTCCGCTGGATCTGAAGAGGACCGCGATAATGGGCAGAGCTGTAAATCGCGCGGTAATCACTGATTAGTAAAGTTGATTTGTTTAGCGCTCCCCTCCCCTACCCCCCCGCTGGCTCAGTCACACGGTGTCTGCCCCGGGAGCGCTCTCCGACACCGCGAATGCCGTCTCTCGTTCTCCGCGCTCCAATAGCCGTCGCGCGCGACGTCCAGTATTGTCCGGCGATTAAGTAAAAGTAAGTCCGGTGCTGGTGGCTGTCACTCTCCACGGCCGGTTTTTATCGCAGTTATTAAGCCGCGATCGCAGTTGGCGGCGACGGCGACGTGACGCCCGCTGGATCTTTTTTTTTTCTTCTCGGGAGAGGAATTCGGAGGTTACGGTTAATTTAGTGTTTGTAATTCCGGCGAGTCTAGTCGTAGGAATAAATTATCGAACTATCGGGATAACAGTTTGAGAGTTGGACAGTGTTGATTGATAATGTTGCTCTAAGTTCGGTTTGTAAGTGATATTGGAATAAGGACGAGCTGTGGGCATAGGAATAGCTTAATCCGAGCTTGGGTTTGTTCTGTCTGCGGAAGAGAATCATGTAAAAAGTGAGTCGAGTATAAACTTAAGTAATTAATTTATTTGATTCTGTATCACACGTTTTTGTTTCCTGCACGAGATAATCTTAAAATACATGAAGAAATGACTAAGAGCTTTACTTTATAAAGTAACCAACAAATAAGTTGTATTGTTTTGAGGACGCCGTAAGGTAGATTCTTTGTCAGATTTTTAGTTCATTAGGATTTTAAAAGTGCTTACATTTCGATGTGAACTTATTTTGTTACCCGAGTTAAGATTTGTATTCCCTTTTATTTGAAATAAGTTTTTGATAAATCATCAAATCAACGTGTTTGTCAGTATTATATACGAATTATCGTTGTTTCAATAGAATATACTTAAAAATGTTGCTGAAAACTGAAAGAACACCAAAAAGACGGATCTTTACACATAATTTGTCGTTCAAAACCAGTTCAAACGAGACTACATATTTGAACATATGCATTAATTGTGTATTGAAATTATGTATTATTATATTTTTGGTAAAGTTAATAATTTTTACTGAAAATATATTGATTGTACTGTTTAATATATTAAACTGACACAATCTAATTAAATATAATGGAGTAGTTAGATGTATTTATATCTTCACTTAACTTCTAAAATCTTAAGAACAGTAAAGTAAACGATACATTGCCGATTTTGCTTTTTTTTGGGACATTTTGGCAATGCTCAAATGATATTTGTTCAGAATACTCAGATTAATATTTCAAAATTCAGTTCATATCAACAAGTGATAAAACCGTATATAGTTTTACGAGGTTCAAAAATGAAGGAGACTCGAGGTTTGTTAGTAGAATAATGACGAGATTGGACCAAAATTAATAATGTAAAATAACTTTATTGGTCAGTAGGTGCCCATTTACAAAGCAGTTGTACCTGGTTCCAAAATAATGTATACTTAATCTGAATATAGACAGATCTAATTAAGTGATAACAAAGTTAAACAACAAAAAAGAAACAAATAAAAAATATATATAGAGTGATAAAAAAAACTTTACATATTCTGTAGCTGTTGCTAAAAGCGATAGAAATATTTCCTCAAAATCATCTAAATAAATAATATAATTTATTAAAAGTACATTGCAAACAAACATTTGTTTTTGGAATATGAAGAACTTCTTTGAACTATACAAGTTTTACAGTCGGCTACATTGAAGTGCAAAAATTCGTATAATATTAAGCAGAAGCTTATGGATCGAATACAAGTAAAAATTTTCATATCATCGGGGTACCTATTAGCTTATTGCAATCAACTGCCTGCAAAATATCGTTAATAAGAGGAAAAACTAATAAAGGCCTAAGGTTTGAGCTGTGAGGGACTCCTGGGGTTGCGAATTGTATGAAACTAATCGGACAAGTTTGTTTAAAAGTATATCATGATGTTTGTGTTATATGTATTTTGTAAAATATCAGAGACAATATTGATAAATTTATTATCGTGAATCTATACATAATAAGAAGAATGGTGTTGTACTACTAATAGTCCAGGCGGTAGAGTAATAAAAATAGGCTTTGGCGTTTGTGTTTGAAGTAATCTATTTTGATGTGCAGAAAAATCTCAAATATTATGTAGAATAAGAATCCTAGTTTACCTATTCCGAAAAACCATTGCTAAATTCAGGGGAACAACTAACATACAAAAAGAACGAAAAATGGCCCATATTTTTCCTTGTAATATTGAAAGTAAGCCCTATATAAAAAAGTCATTCTTTATTTTTTGTCTATTTGACGATTTTCTATAAAGTTGCAATTGCGAATCAAAAAAGTTGAATTTTGCATTAGCAATGGGCGAAAAATAGTAGAAAATCATATTTATATTTGCAACAATTTAAAAAAAAATGAATATTTATAAATATTTATGAAACTTTGTGAATTAATAGTAAAACATGTCAATTCTACCCTAAAAATTTTGCAACGATCGATCGCGTGGTTTTCGATTGATAGGATTTTTAATTAAAAAAAAGTTTATCGCGTACCGTGGGTTTAACTGAAGGTTTAGAAAGGGCACACAATGTTTTAAAGATACTTGTCATAATATACAATGATCAACAATAAAAATACCTATTTTTACCCTTTTATAACCATTTAGAATTTTTTAAAAATTTTTCAACATTTTACTACATAAAAAATTATTTATCGCACAGGGAATTTTCTATGCATTCGTCAAAATCTTGCACACATAAAAAGAGAATTAAAGTAATTTTGACAACTACTGTCAAGTTGTTTTTTACTGTTACAAAATATTAATGTTCGAATGTTCTTACAGTAAAGAGTCATGTCTTTATTTTAACGATTAACGTATAATAAATAACAACAATATTGTGTATATGGTACTGTAGTGTATAATTTCGATAATTTACGGTGCATTATTTGTTCCTTCTTAAAAATACTGTAGCTTGTTTTCAATCAAGTGGAAATATATTTATTTGTCTTGAAACATGAGTAGTAAGAGAAGACTATCCTCAAAAATAATATAAAAGTTAGAGAATCATTGAATAAACTGACTTTTTAAGTGAATCGCCATAATGACCAGGTATCTCATAATATACGTGAAAGTTTCTATTTCTATCCATTTTTGATATGGAAATAAGCATTCATTTCATATTTATAGTCTTATAAAGTAGCTACACTTTTTTACTCGCATAAATAATAGTGTGAAGGAAACATAGAAAACCCATTAAATAGTGGATAGCATAAATCAAAAAGTTGGGTTAGAATAAAGTTTCTACGACAACTAGGGATAAAGCCAGTCAAAACATTGGTTAGATCGTTAAGTTGTGGAGGCAATCATTTTTTAATGTTTTGAAATTGGGAAACGGGAGCGTATTTTTATTTTTATTTATGGTTAACGTTTGATTAGGTCCCTGAACCATTTTACCACAAATTTATCACCTATTTCTGTCCACCTACTATTCATAATTCATTTTGTTTTCTCTTAGTTTTCAACTTTTGTTACAAGATCATACTAAATTGCATTAATCAGTATAATTGTTGGAAAGTAAAAGCAATTCCTCAGTAATAGGAAATACCTTGACATGCCACCTAGATGATACTAGCGATTGTAAAGTAATTATCTGGAGATTATAGTTTGAAAACATATCTAACAAGGCAATTTAGGCAATATATAAATAGTAGCAGCGGCGGTAATAGTCGGTATTAAGACGAATAATAAAACACGTAAACTAGTTTTTCACATAATTAGAACCCGTGTTAAGTTTTCTCAGCAAGAGTGACTCGGCTATGTTTATTCCAGAGTCTTTAACCCTTGACAAAAATGACTTGTCAACTACTTTGTTATTATTATGTTAAAACGGGTTCGTAATGCGAGAAGTTGGGTAATTAAGCGAGGTGTAAAAACATTTTCCTGAATATCACACTTCTGACTGTGGTATTCGGATAATTTTGTTATAAAAAAAATGAAAATGGTGAGAACCCGGATTGTTAAAGGAGGTTAATTTAAATGGGACAAAGGAACAAAAGACTAAAATATGACTGCTAATGTGAACTTTTGACAATTCGAAACCTGAGATTCGTTAAATTCGAAAGTTGAGCCAAAAAATTATTGTGATAGATTATTATTCCATGAGTTATTTTCATATTATTTAGTAATATCTTTTCATAACATCAGCATAATTACTCTTCTATTATTATTGTTGATTGATTATTGTACAATATATTTGAGATATTGTTATAAATATACGTTGAATTCTGTATAGAAATGGTTGCTTTGTTGTAATTTTCAATGCAGGTTTTGGAAATTGGCGTTAGAAATAATTTATATTATGCAAAATTTTTGAAAGTGCATAGATTTACGTTATTTTAATTGAAAACTTTTTTAGTTGAACTGTGGACAAAAGTTTATTATATTTAAATGTTAAAAAATGCACTTATTGCTTTAAGAAAATAAAAACTAAGTAAAAATCTCTTCCACTAAGAACAATGTTTATTTAAGAGAATAAATTTTATTTAGTTCGAGATTATGCTATACGAGTATGAGCATCAAGAATATATTTCATGCCTATAAATAAATAAGTATATTATTCTTGGTTTTTGCGTGTATAACATGTTTTAATTAGGTTAGGTAAGTTAACAGTAATTTATATAGACAAAATTTCGATATTTCAGATCCTGCTTTTCTAATACAGTTATAAGGTGTAATGCAATTTTGTACCTCATTATCTGGTCGAGTTTTTGATAATTCTCCTTAACATATCACTGGTTTGCTGTATGTGAAAATAATTTTCATTTTGATCAACAGATAATTTTGGCTATTGATTTATTTAAATATATATTTTTTAATTTCCGTGACAATCGGTCATGTTTGTTCAATTCAATTCGGTAAAAAAGAAAATTAAAAGTACGTTTATTTTGCTAAATGGTAATATATCATTCCTTATATTTTAGCTGTTGGTGGTTGAATATTTTCAACGCTGAGTTAAATGACGACAGAATAAATATTATACAGTGTATTTTTTTTTTAAACTTGACAAGCCAACTTTTTTATTTGAAGTGACACTTCCAAATGCAAAGTTATAGGAAATAACTAGACTAAGAAAAATGTGCAAATATGCTTTCTCGTGTTGCCAAATTTCTTCAGTAGCTACTAAAATAATATTTCTTTAATTGGCAACACTGTATTTTTTTTACATAATTTGACATATCTCCAAATTCTAAAATGTACCCCGTTTTAGAACAATCAGCAAAACAACGAAAATAATATGCAGGCGGTAGGAATTAAAAGAAACTAACATAGCATTAGTAGGCCTTGAAAATTAATAAAAAATTGTGCTGTTTGAAAGCTGCCATCACTATTGCTCTGTCTTTGTGTTATTTGACAGCTTTTGTATTTGAATCTGTATGAAAATAATGTTTTAATTAGTTGCTAAGATCAATCAGTTATTTAATCCAAAAGGGAAAGTTGAAAAGGCTCAAAATAATCTTAGCAACTGAATTAAAACGTTATTTTTATACACATTCGAATACAACA